AATGGCCCACCGCACGACTTTATGATCTAAGTTCTGAAATTACAAAAACGTCACCTCTCCCAGTTTAAATAATCATTAAAAAGCAAAAAAAAATTTTAAAAATTGAAGACAACGTGAAAACATAGTCCATGATGCCAGCCACAATTTATTTTTATTTTTTTAATAATTATTTAAACTGGGAGGGGCGGTTTTTTTTTGTAATTTTCAGACTTAGATCAAATGGTGTTAAGGTCAAAGGTCCGAAAACTAATGGCGAGGGCCACATTGAGACAATTTTTCAAGCAGGGGGCAAATCGATGCAATCGAGAGTAGAAGGGGTAACGTGATATCGAGCCAAAGTATAGGGGGGAAAGTGGAACTTACCCTATTTTTTAAAACAAAATCGAACGAAAATGATAACATAAAGAAGCATCTTACAAGGCAAGTGTGCTTGCGTGATGGATGAATATCGATGGAATGTACGATGCCGGAAGCAGTTCCTCCTGTCCTGTTAATGCCGTGGAAAAAACACGTTCAGCAAAATTACAGCATATTAAAAATATTAATCTCGGGAAGGAAGAAACTAATCATAACACCAGAACCTTCAATTATACGAGATGAAAGAAACCCGAAACCCGAAACCCTACTTCCGAAGAGCAATTATAAAAAAGATCAATCACGGGCCAGCTCAATCTCTAAAGTCAAACCAGAGTAGACCAAATCGAGCAATATTCGCAATTATTACCACATCCTTTATTCTTTTTTTAATAATTTCATGAACTTTCGAATCTTTAAACGGGTGGTAAAAAAAAGGTCAACATAAGCTACTCAATTACAACACATGAACATAGCACCACAAATATCACTAGTTACGAGCCATCGATTGATACATCATGGAACGAACATCATACACACACTAATTTCAGAATCAAATCCATACATATAACATCTTTTACGACTATACTTCGGAGAAGAAATTTTTCGTTTAATTGGCTTATTATTAACATAATACGAAAAACAACGTAAATTAAATAATACATCCAATTGAAAAAAAACAAAATTGTTATTCTTCTTACCAATTGTCCTTGAACAAAGCAACCGGTCCACCGGGTTTCCGCTGATCCCACAAATGAAGGCCGAATCCGAACGCACCGGTGACGAATTCGAAAGGCGAAGCCCACTTAACGGAACTATACGAAACCAACCCATTACTGTCGAAAACCCTCCTGAAACCCTTGTTCACAGACAAATTGACCAAATTAACCCTCCCATCCTCCCCAACGCTCACACACTCCAACCCATTATCATTCAAATCGATCCCGGAAACGGGGCCCGAATGAAACCCCTTTTCCGGCACGGAGAACTCGAAATTCAGAGACCCGTTTACCAGATCGGCTGAATAGAAGAGCACCGCACCGGAGACAGTCGCGGCGGCGACGAGGGGTTTGGAGGGGGCTGAGGGGGAGGGGCAGACTTTGAGGGAGGTGATTCTCGAAGGGGCGGCGGCGGTGGATTGCGGGGTGAGTGAAGGGGTGGTTTGGGAAGGGGAGGAGAGAGTGCAGGTTTGGAGGAGCGGGGTGGAGGTGTCGGAGTCGTAGGTGGCGAGTATGATGTGGCGCGTGAAGGTGGAGAGATGGGGCAGCCACCGGAGCGCGTCGATGTACGTGTGCTGGGGGAGTTTGTGGATTTGTATGGGGTGGGAGGAGGTGATTGCCATTGTTGAGTGATGGAGTTGGTGATTTTTGGGGGTTTTGGGGTCTGGCCTCTGGGGTTTTGGCTTTTGGTGTGTGTGTGTGTGTGTGTGAGAGAGAGAGAGCATGGAGGGAATATGAATTGCAACCAAGTCTTTTTAATTGCAACCAAGTCTTTTTAGTTTGGAAAATTACTAATGCATCTCTTAAAGTTTGATATTAGCTAATTAGTACCACTTAATCTATGTGGTCATTGACTTTTTTGAAATTTCAATTTTACTCTGAACTCAATATTGAATAAATTATAGGGTAAATTACACTCACACCCCTGGGGTATACTTAAATAACTTTAAGGTCCTTGTGGTATCGGTAATTACAGTCACTCCCCTGAAACGTAGTTAGAAACTCTAATGGGATAATGCATTGGATACGTTATTCTGATAGAGTTCTAACGGACTATTGGTTTCAGAAAGTGGTGGAGACAATCTAACTACATTTCAGGGGTGAGTGTAATTATCAATACCATAGGGACCTTAAAGTTATTTAAGCATACCTCAGGGGTGTGGTTGTAATTTTCCCTAAATTATATAGACTTCCGTCCCTAAATAAGTGTCGGTGTTACCTTGACACAAGTTTTTTTTTGAGTAAATTTAAGTCCATTACAAGGGGAAGTAGGGGAGGGGGACTCAAACCCTAGACCGTACCGAATTGGTAAAGGTTATGTACCAACTCTCCTAATGAGGATTGATACCTTGACACAAGTTTTAAGAATCTTAATAAATATTGATACTCTTGTTTACTAATTTAATGCTTAAATAGTATCGGAGAATTAATAAAGGTATAATTGAAAAATATATATATAAAAGATGCTCCATTATATATTAATCTCTAGAAAGTAATTAGAATATTAATGGAATGCACTAGAAAATAAGTGGCAGTCGTATGATTAAATCAATCACCATCATTCTTATGCCTATAAGTTGCCGTAATGCATCCAAAATATAGGAGTTGGGAATAGTGTTGCCAATGAAAAATAAGAGTTGATGATTAAAGAAGCTCATGGAGAAACAAGCTCTGATGTATAAGAAAAAGAATATTTGAATCTCCACGAGCCTCTAGATCTTGATCTTGCTACTGAGAAGAGAGGGCGCCTTGGCGAAGGAGCTAATTTAACCACCGGAACCACAAGGAAACCGATCTTGCTATTGAGAAGAGAGGGCGCCTTGGCGAAGGAGCTAATTTAACCACCGGAACCACAAGGAAACCGAGTAACTGAACTCCTAGATCGGATGTGATTGTAATTCGTGGTTGACAAGAGTTCGTTCGATACATTATCAATTTTCACCGTGGCGGTAGTAGCCATTGCCATTAAATTAAATTAGGGTTCCGGTATGGGAATTGGGGAAATTAGGTAATCAGGATTCAGGGGTTTTGAGATTTAATCAAACAATAAAAAAATTAAACAGATAAAATCAAACAATGAATAATAAATAACTATGAATTTTGTAACTTGTAACTGGACCAGAAGTTGGAAGAGAAATTGATTCTTTCCCTTTTCATTTTTTCTCACACTTTTCTTGCATACAAACTTTTTTTCCTTTATAACACGTCATATTATTTTAATTTTATATATCTTAGAAATTATGAATGGATAGACATACTACATTATCAATTTTAATTTACCAATAAGTCTATCATGAGCTACTTATTCATATTTATATCTAGTTCTAATTTTGTTTTACAAAAACGCTCAAACAAAGTTCATATGTGTTTAATACCTTATTATATTTAAATATGTTTCAATTTCATTCCTTTAACCTCCAATTTAACTTCAACCACAATAATAGTTGTTGTTAAAAGTTAGCGGCAGGAGGATAAAAAAAAGCAGGAACAAAATTTATCAAAAATAAATAAAAAATAAATTCAACGCCGGAAATTGGGGGCAAAAAAATCATTAAAAAAAAGTTTGAAAAGAAAAGGTCAAAATTATTAAAAAAAAAATTCAAAACCGATGAAATTAGAATTAAATTAGAGTTACAATTAGGAATTGAATTTAAAGCGTTGGGATAGTTTTATCATAAACATTAAATTTGTCCTTACTTATAATATATGTTAAAGAGATTTATTTCTCGGCAAAAGAGATATAACAAATAAACATAAAATAATGGGATTTTTATGCAAAAGTCCCCAACCAAGCATGTTTATTATTCTAGGTATAGGGGACATATCTCTTTCACCAATAAGCCCATCCCTTTAATATTTATTATAACTAAAGGAAACATTCATGTATATCCCAATATTACCCTCAATCATTTATACCCAATTCTTAATTGTAATCC